ATCAAACTGTGGTTGCGAGACTTCGAGGTAGTACATGCCTAGTAGCATATCGAATGGCAGTTCGTCGCTAACCAGGAAGGAGATCGTGTGGATCACTTCCCCTCCTTCGTGGGAGAAGGTACAGGCTACGTCCTTGACATAGTCCTTTACTACCATCTTGTGCTTGTTGGCTAGCGTAGAAGCTACAGTTCTGCTAAGCCGCTGCACTTGGTCCCCTAAGCGCAGTCTATCCACACAAGCACGACAGATGAAATTTCGTGTAGAGCCTATGTCTGCGAAAGCGCCAACATTGCGGCCACCTACATCTACTTCTACCACGAAATGCTCACCCTTTGGACCTCTACTGATCATCGCCCAAGAGTCCCTGGGGTCCTCCCCTGACCACTCAGTCTCCAACTCTTCTAGGGCCTCAGACACATCTCGCGAGCAGAGCGTCGGTGGGTCTGAATGTGTCTGTGGGCGATGCGTGGGTCACTAGCCTTGGTCGACGCCTGAAGTGGGGAAGGCAACGTTACCACTTCAGCGCGAGTAAGAGCGGCTAACACTCCTACTGGCCCGAGGTGTTTCCCTGTGAGCTGCTCGCAGAAGCACTCCCAGGGTTTGAAGATAGACCCACCACCGTTGGTGAGGCTACCTTCGTTGTGACTTTCTTGCCGCGGCAAGTCCTGGACGTGTGGCCAAAGTTGCCACAGTTCATGCATGTGCCCCTAGCAACACGGTCACGCCACACCTCGTATTCGAAACCAATCTTCACCCATGCGGGTGTCCCTTGGTCGCCCTGACCCGTGGACCGTCCTACCTTCTTCTTCCCGGTCCCCCTAGCCTTTTCCTTGATGGGTGCCACGACTCCACCATCTGAAGTCTCACCACCCCCATCGTGCTCTGTGAACTCCCCAAGATCTGAGTAGTCGTCAATCTCCGTCGTTTGACCATCGTGGTCAACGAACATTAACTGACCCTTTTTCTTCCAATCTTGGGGCAGTCTCTTCCTACCATCGTTCGGCGCCTGATGCGCAGATCCCAGCTTTGCCTCGATGTCCAGAGCTTTCTTACTGAAAGAAGCGAAGGTGTGCTGTTCAACATAGGCTTCGTCAACCAGCTTGGTCCTTACCTCTGAAGGTAGGCACCTTAGGTAATCCGTTAGGAGAACCTGCTGGTCAAAACGCACACCAGGTACCACGATTAATCGTTCTACTGCGTCCGTTAGCTCTCTAACATTCTTGAACCTTCGGGAACAAAGACTGTTGATAGCGTCAGTGGCCTTCTGAGCCCCTTGAGGGTCATGCCACCTGTTGTACACAGACCGTATGAACTCTTCCAATGTCTGGGATTGTGCCCAGGCATCGAAGTTTCGACCGTAGCCCTGTTGCTGCACTAAGCCATTTAACCAGCGGGCTGCTGATCCTTCTAAAAAGGAGGCAGCCACTACAACTTCTTGCTCTGGCCTTGTGAGCTTATGCCTCACATAAGTAGGCACAGTTCTCACCCAAGTGTCCAAGTCTTCCTCCTTCTTCTTGTCTCCAGAGAAGGGCTTGGGACTCATCAAAGCTATCTTGGGCATCCATTGCATAGGTTGCATGGGCCCAGGTGCTTGCTGCAGCGGCTGCATAGCCACTGAAACAGGCCGTTGCATACTAACCTGAGTCTGGCTTGACAGTGGGACTGTAGTGACCACTGTCGTAGATGCTACGGCTGAGACTGAATGAACCGGACCACTAGTTGCTACTAAACCACCCGGGGAGAAAGTTTGCCTTGTGCGTTGCGGCATCGATGATGGACCCGCACCTGCAGGGGGAACTACAGCAAACTGTGGCGGCCTCACCATAGTGCGAGTGCCCCGAAGTTCAGCCAGAATTTGTTTCTGGCCTGCTACCAAATCAGCCAGTAGTTCCTGCTGTACGCTTTGCGCTTCCGCCACTGAAAGTAAAGCGCCTCGCAACACACGTACAGCAGGATCCAATGTTGACTCATCCAGTCTTTCCAGTCTGCCTAGCTCCTGAGCTCTACTCTCTAGTCTAGCTTTTCTTTGCATAGCTTTCCTTCTCCTCTCTACCACATCGTCCATCTGCCGCTGTAACTCATCCTGAAGTTTTTCTGCCTGCCGGATTTCTAAGTCCTCCGGCGTGAGTGGAGACTGGCTGACTCGCACATGACCAATCTGACTAATGGGAACATGAGAACCACCCTGACTGACTCCTGGCGAAGAGGGTTGTGTAGAGGGTTGCGTCATAGATGAGGTAGCCATGGCTGCACTGATGCTAGCTGTAACTCTAGCCCTAGCACTGACCTCAGCTGCCCTCGCTCTCCTTGCCGCTGTCCTCTCTCTAGCCTCTCTCCTCAATCTTCTCTCGTCTCCTGGACCTTACTTCAAGAATGTCAAGGGTCGACTGCGAGCAGTCCTGCGAGTAGTCCTACGGTCGTCCACTAGTAACTCCTCACTTGTGCTTGCATCACTCATGAGCTACAGTGTGTGTGATCTAAACTAGAATCCACACTGAATCCTACCTTAGCTTGACACACATCCGCATATTACTTACGGTCGGCTGGAACAAAAATGATTAGGTGATGTAGTTGCAACTAATGTCAGGTCCTACAGGATATATTAATTCTATTTTTGAATTACCTTGGAACAGATTGCACTACAACAAGGATTTAATCTATCTGTAGCTGTCTGTAAGTTGTTAGCGAAGTCTGTCACAACTAGATAATCAAAATAAAAATAACATCTCCTGTTGGAGATGTACACTGAATGGCAGATTGTATGTTGATTGCCACTGCGAACAGTTACCGGAATCCCCCCCTCCCCCTGTATCCTTCTTGAGTAATCACTTCGTGTCAACGTCCCTGAGCACCTGGTTTAAGCAGCGTGTCTGAAGGAGTGCAATCCGGCCCACCCCTGTGCCCCAAGTCTTTGCCGAACATGCCAGCCAGTCCACTCTTATTTATCCTCGTACGGAACGAGCCTTACACCCGATTGATCTGGCTGATCAGGAGGAATTTAGAGAGCGCTCCCATCTCTTCAGGAATTATTTAACATCGCAGTCAGGACGACGATCACAGCCAGATTCAGATCCGAGTCCCCAACCAGAAATGTTTATAGACGGTCTGGTAAGCGTCTCATAAAAGGCTGGCATGCCCAGGTAGACCTCTAATGCGCAAGCAGCAGAACCAAGGACTTGCGCCCAAGCATGCGTGTACTAGTCCCAGCGGGTTGGCATGGTGACCGTGACCCGAGTGCTTCGTCCAGGGCCCTTCAGAGGCTACGACCGTCTCCCACCAGCTTGCTGCCCAGGAAGAATGTCGACTCTCAAGGTTGAGCGCTCGCGACACCTCACATCAAGAGGACTCTCAAGACAGAACTCACTTCCTCACGGTAAGGAGAGATGAAGAGGGTAGATAAGGAAGAGAGCAACGTACCTCATTAATGCTGCCCCCAACCACAGATTTCTCACCGGTAACCTGATGTGCAATTATGATGACCGGTCTTTGCTTCGGCACAACCAACAGCAGGATGCGGTTCCACCTCAGCTTAATGTGTCACATCAGCGAGTTCTCATCATCCAGCATACATCCCGTATGTCACCACATAGCTCCCTGGCGCGCCCACACGACCCTGGGCCGCCTAATGTTCAACGCCAATGCCGTATCACTGCCCCACACCTCATGCGAAGCACCAATAGCTATTGCGAAGAACCAATGAAGCGCAATATGAACCAGCTCCGATACCAAATTGCAAGGAAAATAAGCAACAGCGAGATGACAATCCCAGATCACACCATCACATTGCAAGTCAAATAGTCACACCGTGTCCAGATAGCAGCATTGCACCAATAATACACCAATGGAGTTTCGTAGCACTGAAAACCAATATCCGTGGAGAGCACACTCTCTCTTCTCAACAAAAGAGTCCAGTTCCCTTACACTCACACTTGGCGCTCAGCGCCCAGCCTACTCCTACACAGCTACTACAGACTACAAAAGACAATGCAATTGTTGACATCAGCAGCAGCCCGAAGTACTTGAAGATGCCGCTCATGCAGACCATCGCCAATACCAGGTACGTGCCCTCACATCATCATCATCATCATCATCATCATCATCCTTCACCTATCCCCTGACTTCACCCACACCTGTCCTCTCTATCGCCCGAAGACCACCCCTGCACTTCACTGTAGTCCAAGCCCACCAGCTATGGTGGCTGGGCTATGGTGCTGCCCTCAGCAGCGCCCTCCTCCTCTGCACGACCGCACGTGCTGCACCTCGCCCCTCAGCGCTAGCAGCAGCCTACGAGCATTAGCTCTAGCAGTGCTGCCGCCCAGCATGCGAGTGCCTGAATGAGGCAGCCAGGGCCGGGCTCTTTCCTTTCTGGAAAGACTTGGCCTGCTCACGCAGCCTGGCTGCCTTGGCCTGGGCCCAGAAGCTTCCGGAAGGCCCCAGGAGGCTGCCTGGATGCAGCAGCTACTGGGCTGCTGGGCCTCGTTCGGTTGGGCGCCCAACTGATCTGTATGAGGCTGCGAATCACGGCCAGGGCCTGCATTCTTTGGAAAGGCCCGGTAGGCCGTGGAAATGTCCTTGTTGCTCGGCCTGTGTTTCTTTCAACCAACCGGCGCGTCGCAACTGCCTGAACCCCAAATATGAAATTGACAGTCGAAGGCCTTTTGCAAAAAGCCAGGCCCGCCTTCACTTAGGGCGGGCACCTCCGCCTTCACTTAGGGCGGGTAAGGCTGCAGACAGGGCCCCATAGGCCTACCGAGGACCCTGATCCTCGCAATAATTTTACCATATTTTTATTATATTTCCAAGTGTCTTAGAAGCTAGAACTTAGAAGTTTTAACTTCACAATTTCGTTGCTGTCCCATGGAAAGAACATAGCCTTTTGTGCTGTGTTGCCTCATTTTACTATTTTATAATTTTAGTACATTTACGATTTCTTTTTCAGGACTTCATCTTTTTGGGATTCCTTTTTCAAGACCTTTTTTCGCACTGTTTTTTCCGATTTTTTTTTTTTTTTTTTAGTTAACTCAACTTAACTGCATTTTCATGAATTTCTTTTAGTATACATTAGTGGATAGGTGCACTCTTTGCTTTTCTTTCCATTTCCTTTTTTCATTCCTGTTTTCATTCCTCTTTTCACAGCGGACGGGCTCCACTTGCAGAACAAAGTGGAGACCTTGTGGCCCCTGAAACAGCAAGCTATTTTGTATGTACATTCTGCCTTGGGCACTGGACCCTTTAAATTAAATATGACGTGGCCCCTGTTATTTAAAAAAGAAAAAAAAAGCCTGTTGTGCTGTAGCAGCACCGATATCTACAAGTCTTTGTGCCCAAATGCCAAATACTACTTTGTTCCAAATTTGTTTATTAACTTATATTAAGCTTTTTTTTTTTTTTAATTATTATTTTAATGTCCAAGTCGTAGTAGAGGTTGGATGTTTCATTGAACTCTCACCTGAAAGTCCTCCGAGAGCAAACAACGTCTTCAGTTGAAATCCCAAGGTTTCCGCTCCGATGATTGCTCCAGTCAGAACCAGCACTATGGAAGTCAGCTTATCCACAAGAGTAATCTGTGGCTGCAAGGTGGAATATGAATATGACAGATATTAAATTATTAATTGAATTTAATTCATTATTTGAAAGAAAGAAAAATATCACTTAATCAAAGGGGTTATTCATCAGAGGGCCCTCAAAACAACGAAACAAACTTTAACAAAGTCATCCTTTTTTAATTCCGCTCTCTTTTTATCATGGTAGCCGACCGGATGTCCGGACCGGGTTCCAGACAGTCTCGAACAACATGTCCGGGTCCGGTGTCCGGTTCGTGATGTCCGGATGGAGGCCCCCAGGGCAAAAATCGAAAAAAAAAAAAAGGGGGATGCCCAGGACGTTTTCCCGTCCTGGCCGCCCCTTGAAAAATAACGAAGCGATTTTTCAGTGTCGTTTCACCCCACCGAACAGGGCCTCGAGGCCCAGACACAAGACACTCCAGCAGGTTTTTGGGGTGGCGGGTTTCACAGAGGCCCGCGCAATTTCAAAGCGGCCGTTCCGAAGTGCCGCCCGCCGCTGCTGCCCGTTGGAGAGAGAGAGAGAGAGAGAGAGAGAGAGAGAGAGAGAGAGAGAGAGAGAGAGAGAGAGAGAGAGAGATCTATTATTATGGTATATACCGTACTTCCAACCACACCGTGCGCCGTACGGTGGGGCACGGCACCTGCTCGTGTGCTGTACGAGCGGCAGTTTCCCTTTTTTTGTGTTTTTTTTGCTGTTTTTGACATTTTCGTAGATACCGAAGAGTGAAACACCTAAGGAACTGATCTTTTTCAAGTTCAGTTGTGGTACAGATTTTTCTTTCTGTCCAATTGGGCATGAGAAATAGCCTCAAAAAGGTGTCTGCAACTTCAGTCCTGACCTTTAGGTAGTGGTTACCCTCCCGCTAGTGTTTTTTTTTCTTTATTTTCCATCCCACAACAAATCTTTAAAGGGAACGCAGGTGACCATTGACCGAGCCATGCGACCCCTTTTTGTTTTTGAGTGAACATTTTCCCTGTGCGCCGCACCAACGGGTCCGCTCGCGCGCCGAACGTGCGGAATTTCCGCACGGCGTCCGATTGCATGTATGAAATAATAGGGGAATATTCTATATACTATATAGTACTAGATGACCTGTTGCAGCTTCGCTTGCAAAAATAAATATGATGGGTGATGCATTCATGGTGTAGGCAAACGCCCTATGCAATCTCTCTCTCTCTCTCTCTCTCTCTCTCTCTCTCTCTCTCTCTCTCTCTCTCTCTCTCTCTCTCTCTCTCTCTCTCTCTATCTATCTATC